TACTTAGCGGAAGGTCAAAGGTGTGACTCTCATTGGGAGCACTCGTGGTTCTTTTTTTCTGAGTATAATGATAAAAATAATGTCTAGCATCTCTTCCTAGTGGTCCAAACCCCATAGGGAAATCACAATTAAAAACTACAAATTACCTAACTATGTCTATAAAATAGAAGACAATCTACAAAAAGTACAGTGACAATGAAAATTCAATGTTCCATGTAAGCCAATAGAAATAAATGTTCCTTAAGTTTCTGTTTAAAAGGTTTGACTGATTGCAAGTCAATTGATGACTTTACAGTTGAAGCCAAGGCTAATGGCTCACCACTTTAGGACTTGAGATTGTACTTGAGTATCTTCAAAAGGTTTTTAGATGATGAGCAAAGTTATCTTGAAAGTCTATCTTAGGGTAAAAGAAGCTCTGTTAAAGAAATTGTAGCTTGCTTATTGAGTGCTTTAAATGTAGTTAGAAGAATCTTAAACTCCATCTGCTGTTGAATGGGTTGCTAATGGAGTTCCTTGAGTAGAGGCATTATGTGATCATATTTATTAGATCCAGACACTATTCTTGCAGTGCAGTTTAGTGCTTGTTGGAGTCTAAGCAATAAATATTTGGAAAGGCCATACAGCAAGGAGTTGTAATAATTAACCTTTGAAGTATCAAAGGTACGTATGAGGGTCTTCGTTGTTTCGATGTATGCCTGTGTAATCACTGAATAACATCTTTAGGCTGTTATGTTTTGCCAAAAGCCTACAAAGAACATTTCACTTAAAAATTACAATGTTGGCTGCATCTTAGGCTTCTCTGTCTCAGCTGTGTCTTGGCTTCAGCTGTGCCTTGGCTTCAGCTGTGTCTTGGCTTCAACTGTAAAGTCATCAATTGACTTGCAATCAGTCAAAACTTTTTAACAGAAACTTAAGGAACATTTATTTCTATTGGCTTACATGGAACATTGAATTTTCATTGTCACTGTACTTTTTGTAGATTGTCTTCTATTTTATAGACATAGTTAGGTAATTTGTAGTTTTTAATTGTGATTTCCCTATGGGGTTTGGACCACTAGGAAGAGATGCTAGACATTATTTTTATCATTATACTCAGAAAAAAAGAACCACGAGTGCTCCCAATGAGAGTCACACCTTTGACCTTCCGCTAAGTACTTTAGCTGTTCTACCACTTAACTATTGCAGACTCATGGCAAGCTAAGCTGTTTAAGTAGGTTCATGGTGGTCTATTTATAAAAGATCTGTGTAAGAAATCTTGAAATTAGTGTCCATAAAATAAAGCCATGTCAGGCACTATTATAACCCCTAAAGGTTCATTAATATTATAAATAAGAATAAATAAGATTTTTTACTAATTTTTTTCAATTTAGGTGCTGTATTATGTTTATAATATTTTACAAGTAATAAATAGACACCAGGTAGGTACTATTATGACTTCTTGCAATAGACCAATTTAACTATTGATTTGATGTATTCATTTTCATTGTTTTCCAAGCATCTTCACCAAGTTGAAAATATACATTCGTACTTTGAAAGCTACTCATTCTAACTATGATATCTACTACACCCATTTGGGATTTGCCTTTATATGCTCATCAGTTTAAGGAGCTCAAATAAAACTGTATCATTAATGACAGAAGCCCTGTAGGCAAATCCCTTATTGTAAGGACATGTTCACTGGAGATTCTTCTTCAAAGAATGGTCACTTTTGGCATTAATTTTTTTAGAGATCAATAGGCTGCAACAGGTGTGAATAGTACATTTCAAATTTCTATGATAATGAAATGACAAGTTGACGCAAATTCATTTTGCTTTCTCTTCTCTACATGAGGAGGTTTATTCATCCTTCCTGCTTGTGACAAGTTAATTCCTGGGGCAGAACAGTGGTGCTGAAGGAGGTACTTAATGATAACAACCTACTAGGTTTGTTCACGCAAGCCATTCTGAAATTTCCATTTACTACCACTGACAACAGAAACAAAAATGCACTTACATGTTCATGATAGTTTTGATACAATTGCTGGAGGGACTGTTTCTTTTCTTGATTTGCACACAACACACTTCTTCCACATTGCCTCGTATGTTGAAACCCAGCATGCAGAACATTTTTATGATAAATTATTCCATTGGTTCTAAGTTTGGAGAATAAAAAGACAAACTCAGAAAACAGTAAAAATAAAATATTGAAATAAAATATGCATTAAGTAAAACAAGTTTGAGGACTGTAATACATGTAGCTCTTTGAAACTGTGATACTTCATCTTCAAAGTTCTCGGGAATGTTTAGAGGGCTTGTGGAGTTACATGTACAACTTGACCGATCTCTATAGGATGAATAGGTCCTAATCTTTAGCAGGTTCAGAGTTTATCCTGGCGAACCGTTAGATCTCTTTACATAATATTTTTCTTCATAACATAACTGAGATACAACATACGCTCTGATTGATGAAAAATCTCTGTACTACAGTGTAAAGTAATGGAAACCATTTCACCGATTCAGTCAGCCGTTTTGTATCCGTTTACAACCGTTTTTCTGGACTGTTTAACGGAATAGCGTTAGAGTCTGTTTCGCCAAAGGTCACCCAAAATGCAACACTCCCTCGATATTCTGAACGCGTGCTGCGAAGTAAACATATAGCTGTACCCATAATCGAATCGCTTACAACTAAGCACTGAAATGGACTGATTGACGAATGGATTCGTGTGAAATGGATGTGTTAGAAATGTCAACTTTAAGAAATACCACGAAGATCGCTACATAAGACCAGGATTAGCATCTACTTGCCGCAAGGTTCGTCCTTCGAACCGAGACTTCTATAGCAATTATTTCGAACTCACCTGTTATTCTGACATTTCTAAAATAAAAGCTTAGACAGCACTCCCACATGCGACTCTCCTCGATGTCAATATTTCAAATAGAACCCGTTCACTGACACAGCGGCAAAATTAGTGCTTGTAAATTTTTCGCGCGTTCCAATCATGCGCACTTATTTTACCACAGGCAGCCCAAGCTCTCTTTGAGAATTACCACAGAAAGAACACAATTTGCATATCGATTTATAAGGATTTGTATGGGATTTTCTACAAGATAGCCATAGAGATAGTGAAAAGTGAAAATATTAAATAAAGATGGCTTACCTTATTCCATACGTGTGTTGCTTGCTCCTGGTGTCGTTATTTTACCGATTTCACTTGATTTAAKCGGTTTTTTTTAATCCTGGTTTTCTCTTCTTAAAGAGAAGACAAGGCCGAACACTTCTGTCCAGACAGCCTCCCGAACGAAGTAAAAAATCCCAAGCTAAAATGTACCCACGGCCACAAATCCACCGCAGAATTCAAGGGCAAAGGTTGACCTTTCATTTCGATTCTTTAGCCACACAATCTCAGCCCTGCGATCGACGCCAGGGGGCTCTTCGAGTCCTCGGTGAAACGTTAAAACGTTTGTAGACATCCGAGTCCTTTTTGAACACGAGACAACGACCGTTGAAATGGGCTTGGTAACCTCGTCATATTGGCAAACCAAAACTCGCGGGGGCCTACTAGACCTCAACTTGTCAACAAAACCTCTTGTGAAACCCGGGGTCCCCTCAGGTTTAGTACCCTGGGTTTCTCTTCTCTTTAAGAAGAGAAAACCAGGATTAAAAAAAAACCGCTTAAATCATGTGAAATCGGTAAAATAACGACACCAGGAACAAGCAACATACGTATGGAGTAAGGTAAACCATTTTTATTTAATATTTTCACTTTTAACTATCTCTATGGCTATCTTGTAGAAAATCCCATACAAATCCTTATAAATCGATATGCAAATTATATTCCTTGTGTGGTTCTCAAAGGGAGCTTGGACTGCCTGTGATTTTAGCGCTGAGTCAACTGTGTCACTCACGCGGATCATTCTGAGCGTGCGCGTAAGTCAATGACTTGTTTTCAGGTTCTACTCCGCCAAACAAGTAATTAAATTAATTTAAATTTCTAATCAAATTCAGTATACGTTAAGCGTGCTCAAAATCCCGATAGTACATGCTGATAACGTGAGCAAATCGCTTCGCCAGAAATTTTTTCTTTTTTTCGCACGAGCGGTCATTGATAGCGCGGGAAAAAAATAATACATTTCGCGACAATAATGAATACAAACAGAGACTCGGCCTACCAGTCCCAAAACGAAGACAATTTTCCGATTTTTTCCCTTGGGCTAGAGTTCTTAAATGAGGCAAAAAAAGAGAAAAACAACGGAAAAGGAGACTCGGCATCAACGCCGTCACGATTCGCTTCACTGTCCGGCGTGAAATGAACAAATTTTGACAGAAAGACACTCTGGTAAAACCAAACAAATGACAAACTGGTCTGATTCAACCTTCAAAGGTAAGCTTAAATTTTTCTGTTTTAAAATTGTTAAATATATATTTACAGTTGTTTTTGGAAATAGTAAAACTCACGGAAAAATTGTCTGCAAAAGTATTAACACATTTAATTACATCAAATTACAGACTTAGCGATAACAGAGTTTCTGTTTGGTTTTCCTTCACGAAAGTAACTATTAAATGGTTTCTTTTTAAACTCAAAGAAAACTTGCTTTTATTTTAGCTTGGTGTAACGAGAAACAAATACAAACTCCGATGGAAAACATGACGATAGGACAACTGGACACAAGCCTACGCAGGTTCGATTCCTAAGCGAGGAACAAGTCCAGGGAATCCAACAACAATTCCTCTCTCCTTGGTTTCAGGCACTCTTTTGAGAGATACCTGAATGCACCCCCCCCCCCCCCCCCTAAGCAGAGGGCTCAAACTGAGTTCATATCCTCAATTTAAAAGATCAACTGAAATGTCAAATGCTCAGATAGTCCGGGAATGAATTAGTCAAAAATTGATATTATAACATAACGATAGTAAAGGGCGCGCTCTGATTGGTCAACTCAACGTCCACCAGTGACAGGTCGAAAACTAGTCTTTCCATTTGCTGACGTCAGCAAATGAAAAGACTAGTTTTCGACCTGTCACTGAGAAGTCTTACGTCTAGACTAAAATAATCGCGTCAAGAACATCACATACCACCGTGGCCTACAGGAGAGCTTTCTGAGGTGGAAAGTGTTTCCCGGTTCCAAGACGGAGATTTGTGCTTCCACTGCAAGGTCAGAGCATGTGGCTTTACACTTACAACATTTACTCGATACTATCTATTCCCACTTGGCGGTCGACTCTGCCATATATGGAATACAGTATAGACATCCCGATTATCCACGTAGTTAGTAGAGCAGGGAAGAGAATAATCGGAACTCGTGTTTATAATAAGAAAGAGCCAGTTTCTCCAGACATATTAAGGAAGCTTGTTGAAAAACTCCAACCTAGATAATTTACTTGAATTAAGAATTTCAAATGTGTGTGTTGCTATTCCTGCTTTTGCTGGTTTCTTCCAATTTGAGAAGGTTCTTCATATTAGATATAGAGACATCAGGTTTCACAGACACCACGTAACTGTTAATGTTAATAAAAGTGAGACTGATCAACTTAAGAAGAGGGAGCCAACTTGTTATTTCAAAGACCTCTTCTATTGCTACCTACCCTTAAAAAAATTTCAAGCGTTTTTAAGTGAGGTTGAAAAGTTTCCAGTTGAGGCAGGTCATTATGTCTTAAGGGCCTTGTACAAATTAGGCCACAGACTAGCCGCTCGCTAACTCATGTATAAGAGATTACTTCAATACTAGTTTAAAGAGATTGTCCTTGATTTTTCTCTGATCAGCACACATTCCTTAAGAGGCTGGTGGTGATTCAGCTTCCGCTGATGTTGCTGTTCCAGACAGACTCTTTCAGAAACACAAACGTCGGAGATCTGTCCTGCGAAATATAGCTATGTTGGCGATAGTTTGAATTCACATTTTTCAAAAAAGTGCATTGTTTACTTTTAACTCACATTTACCTTCCTTTGTCTCTATTAGGATGCGTATACTACAAGACTGACTGACTTATCCTAAACGAAATTTTCACATTGAATAACTCCGGTATGAGTGTAGTCAGTTGTTGAGTGACCTGTGAACGAATTAGTCAGAAATAAGTATTCTGATGACACGTTGAAGAGGTTTGCGTGACATAGGGGAAGTTTCGTTTTATTTAAGCGTTTCACGGGGAAATTAAGTCATTTTAGGTCGGTCAAGTCTTATGTTTGACCACTTTCTCTTTCTTTCGTACTTAATGGAATTTTCGTTTACCAATTTGCTGTAAAATATCTTTAGGATTCGTAGTGTTACCAGGTCATTTTACCCTTTCCTCGGGGTATTGTGCCACTGCATTAGATGAGAAATACGTTTCCATATATTTTTTGGCCATTTCTAAAGAGCAGTTTTTTTAGAGGTTTTTCGTAGCTAGCGTAGCATCGGTTTTTCTTTTGTACAACCCTTAGTTTCAGTGTACACAAGTTAGATCATATTAGAATGCGTCTACCACAAGACTGGATGACTCCTCCTAAATAAACTTTTCACATTGAATAACTCGTGTGAGTCTAGTTAGAATCTGAGATGGCTGTTGTCTCAGAAGTCATCCCACAAGTATACCAAAATATAGTCTCAAGACCATGCGTAATAATGCTTTTGAGTTTTTCAGGCAAGCGCATGCGAAAGCGAAACGCGAACATCGTGCGAGGAGAGCAAAAGAGCCACACCTTGAAGCTCATTGAGTTATACAAGTTAGCATGGTTACAAATAGTCCTTATCGGTCCAGTTTGGTCCTACCTTGAAGCTCGCCTTTGAAAGAAAGTTGGAATTCCATGAAGACGCTGTAAGTGATTTTGTTAGATTTACCTATTTCGAAAATGTCGAACTAATGGTAGGCAAACCGTGCAAGTTTTGCTCGGCGCATCGAATTTTCTGAGTGTTGAATTTATCAACAACTGAGAAAAAAAAAATGATGAATTCATCAGCACAAGTTGTTTAAAGCGGCTTAGAACTCTGACAGTTTGCCGATCTATTTACAGTGGAGCACTAAAAGAATGGTAAACCGACACCCTTTGATACATTTAGTTTACTTTGGTGAAAAAGATCAAATCTCGTCTTTTCCATGTAAGAGACCAATCTTCAGATCTCCTCCTCATTTGCTTAATTGGCATCACCCAGATAGCCAAAAGCACATCATCGTATGAAAAAACTTCAAGTCTAACATGTATTCTCCGCAACAGATTTGCCATTTTTTCCGGTTAATAATGACACAATTTTAATTATTTTATACTTTTTACATTATGGTATATTCTTTTATTCTCGTGGCTACTGCCTCCTATAGGAGGCGGAGGAAGTCACATATGCTATCGCGATAGGTGAGAGAGTGTAACAATAGCATTTCAATCTCGTCTTAACACTGACCCAATGTTTCCCTATGCTACTTACCTTTTTTTCAGAGTATCTTAGTAGTTCGATATTCGCACTCGATACAAAGCTGAGTTCCCTCCTTTTGCGATTTCTAGATTATAGCCACAAGCACATTGTTTTCATTCCTTGCCATGATACTCCGGGCGGCAGCAGAAAGCACTAAAAATCTTACAATCATTTCAGGATTGTGCGCGATTTTAAACAGAAGTGTTCCTTGCAGAAGTATCTTTAATAGGTTTGATCGGTGCATCATAAAACTTGGGGGAAATTTTTTTTTCTTAACATCAGAAAATTATGTTGATCCGACGATGTAATCTTTTCAGTTCTTGCAGTATGTGACACCACAAAGGACGATAAAGTATCTCAAAATAATTTGACAACAGAGGCATCAAACGACGCACAATTGGAATCAGAACTTTTACTTGGTGAAATATCTCCATAAACGGGATCTGCACATCATGTAAGCTTCGAGGATTTTTTTCTTCAAAAAGAGAGCATTTTATTGTTTAAATCAGCGACTTTTGCCGAGGAGGCAGCTAAATTTTCGAAGCGAACAAGCTGCGAAATACGATACTTTTGGATGTTTATTATTTTATCGTACTCAGATTAGCGTGCATGACCAATGATGTCCTCCTCAAATTTTATATCCCATAACAGGTTACCTGATGATGGTTAAGTATTTGGAAAATGTTTTAGACAAACGAAGACCCTAGACGTCCGAAGGTTGGGGCAGACACGGAGACTTGCGTGACTCACCTGCCGTTGGTAAAAGACATGTCACATGGTATTAGTGATTTTCTCTAGAAGTCGTTGTTGAGGTGGTTTTTAGAACTGAATGACATTTGTTATCACTCACGCGTCAGGTTAAGATAAAACTCTCCGCTATGTTTGAGACCCTTGGTCGCTGTGTGATTTTTGTTGGTCTCTATCCTTTTGCAGGTAAGTAACGATGTGTTGTAGGATAAGCTTACACAACAAGAATACCCATCGCGAAAATGTAATCAGCAAACTGGAAAAATGTTTTTATCGTCTATTCTGAGTATCCCGCAGTTCACTTGAGCGTATCCTATCTGCACAGTCATAGCAAAGAGTGCTGATGCATACAGACAACTCTGCCTCAGTTCTTTAGTGGCCATGAAAGAGGTATTATGAAAGTCAAGAATTCCGTTTTATATCCGCCTACAGATATCAGACTGAGGGTCAATCCTAATGCAACCTGGTATATACATTATCAATTCAATGATATGAGAAGCTCACTCAGCCCATAGGTTCGCCGTGCCTACTTGTTTTATTTCATTGTTTGCTCTCCTTTACTCTTCCGTTGTGAAGATTGTGATCGTTCTGGGTCGGTTCCAATCGCGATTTGTTTATTCATGCTATTTCCCTTTCGAATTTAAATCTCATTTTGATTAAAATCCTTCGCTAACATACGTTTGTCGACTGGCTATTTCAAGTTTTGTCCGTTAGATTAGGAAGTTGGTTGACTTGTTCGATTTAGCCCCTCTGAGAGCATTCCTGTTGTACTTTATTTCGCTGAAGCGCTATGTGCTCCCCGTTGAACGGCGGGTGAAAGTGTTCACAGGAGTGTAGAACCTGCCTCGCGGAGCGTCTATTTACGTTGCGTGACACAATAATACTCTATTTTTATGTCCATGATCTGTTGGATAAAAGTAATGTCTGAGCATCTTCGTAATATGTCATAAACATAAGGAAATGCGGATATGTGTTTGTGTGTGTGTGTGTGTGTAAGTGTGTTTGAATGTGTGTGTTTTGAGCTGTTACACGTTTGTCACATCACTCAGTTTCGCTTTTTCTTGTGCAGGTGCTATTTTGTTTGTAAATTAAATCTTCTTTGCATGTGTTACTTATAAAAGCCGGTACTTTCATAAGCACAACCATTATATATAGTTTTTAGTTTGTAGTTCTTAAAGTCTCTGAAGAAGGTTGAACAGTCAAAACGTTCTTAAATCTATATTCGGACCTGTTAGAAGTTTATCCCACAGTTCTCTTCAGGCATTAATCGATAAGTTCACGTGGTGGTATAGTATTCTTCGAATCCTTCTGCTGGGAGTTCATTGTTCGCGTAAACCTTTTATCTCGTCTCTATATATATTGATGTATATAAAACCACATAGGTGAACAGTTTAGGGAATCGCACCAGTTAGTATGCGAAGTAATGCTCACTGCAGCCGCTCCCTGGGGTGTCGTGGTTTGTATTTTTTTTTTTTTTTTTTTGAAAACGAAAATTATTTAAAACAAATTGCAAGATCCTAGAGGCTAAATAATCAAAGGATAGTATCATGATAATCATATTCCATAGCATATTCCACTACAATTTCCCCAGGTATCCAAGAGGTACCCGAAAGGAGGGTTTCCAGTCGTTTGATAACCATGAATCGATTAGATTTTTAGCGCTGATCTCGTAGTCTGACTGTTTGGGTAAGAGTAGTCCTAGGAAGGACTGTTATCGGTAGCGGTGACTAACATTTCCACAACTTGGTCGGAAATCATCATCAGAGTTGAGTGAAGAGATGTTAACAGTGGAGTGCACTTGGGCAGGTTCGTGTATACGGATTGGTAAGTTAAGCCGTGATGATACTGGCTATAAGACTCAGGTGACGTAAGTCGGTCGTGAAAGGTCAATTTCAATCGGTCGGCGATGTTTGGTCGTTCTGTTTGGTTCTTTTTTTGTACAAATATCGTGAACAAGTAATTGTATAGAACCCGTACCAGTGGACTCTTGGAAGGAGACTCGCGGCCCCAATTATCGTGCAGAGTTTGACTCACAATTTATAGAAACTGTTCTAGTACCTGCCCCCTCATTTGGACCAAATTACGATGACCCATTCAGCGCTACTTTCGTTCTTGCACATGTAAGCGTTTCAAAGCCTTTTAGTATGGGGGCGGCTGCAAGTTTTTATAAAGAAAGATATTGCTCAAAACTTACTCCCTTTTTGCCGGAGAAAAAGTGCAAAAGTGATTGCGAGGCTAATAAACCTCAGCTTGTTTGGATATATGTTGGATATTCGCTGTTATGTTTATAAAGTTTGCATGTCGTATTAAGTTGCTGAATCCCTTTTTCTGGCCAGGGAAATTCACAAGAGGATGATGTCTCTGTTAGTGTCTGTCTTCTACTAATGGGTGGTTGTCTTTTTCATTTATGTCAAAGCCAGATACTTATAGGCACTTACTGTGTATTTGAATTCTGGGGATAAGATGCAGATTACTTTGGGACGTTTTAACAAGATTCATATCTCTCTTGACATCCATTCATTAAATCAAAGTCAGCAGACTCTTATGATTTCATTCCAAAGAGTCAGCGTACTCTTTGTCATCACATTCTACTTTATTTTATTCCACGATTGGATGTCAAGGCAGCGACTAAAAATTGTTAAAACGAATTTCACCACAATTGGCATTAATATCCCAATCTGATCGGCCAAGTTGCCGTTGTCGATAAGAGTTCAGACAAGGCTGCTCTCGTCAACGCGTCACCCAGAGCCTCTATCGGCATAGATGACTCTGAAATTTGACGTCAATACTGTGGTACTGAAAAAAGCGAAACAGGAGTGGTTTAGCGTGGTCTGTACTCTTATCGACAGCGACATTCATCATCTCAGTGGTCAAAATTTTGCGCATTTCCTAAGGCTGAACGGATAAGTCTTTGGTTTTTCTAAAAACTAACCGTAACTCAACTAATTTTGACGAGGTTATGTGGAAACTTAGGATCGTCTCCTACCCTGGAATACGAAAGTAATGACCATTCGTGTAATGCAGTCGAACCTGTATTTAAAGGTCACTCTGAATTAAAGGGGTGGCTCTCACTACGAGTCTGTTGCTAAGGAAACCTTCAAGCCCCTCAAACTTCGTTTCCTTGACCGCAAAGGAACCTCAGTGGGCATCAACGTTTTTTATTCTGTTTGACGAAAACTACTGTTGTTGAGAACAATAGATGTAAACATCCCCAAAATATGCGATATCTAATTTTTTTAAGCTTCGTTCGCAAATTGCCCCTATGAAAAGTAGAGGCCCGCTGAGAATTTTTACAGAAATTAACAAAGGTGCATAGTTTCAGTTTCAGGAGCGGTGTACCTTTGGAGAAATTCAGATGAAAGTATTCCCTGTTTCACCTTACGACAAAAGTGACCCGAACTGTATTGAGATAAATAACCGATTAGTGTGTCGACCCTCACTCAAGGAAAATTGAGTGCATTATAGTTAAAACAAATGATGCCACTATGTATGGTTGAAGTACCAATTTGTAATGCTATAAAAAGTTTCAGACAGAGAAATAAACATTTTACACTTTTTTTGGCTGTTTTTATATGAAAATGAGGCCTCACGTCTCCAACAAGCCGCCCTTGTTCCCATGACATAGAGACTAGTTAACAAGTTCTTCAGGTAGTAGTCCAAATAGAATTTATAATATTCTTTTGTGAAACCATCTACTCCTAGAAACTTTCCACACCGGCCGTCTTGCATTCCTCTCTCCTCGGTTTTCCTTCGAGAGATTATATTTGGTCGTCTTTTAATTCTGATAGATAAATTCGTAAATTCTCAGTAATATGTGAAGTGTTTGTTTGAATTCTCACTTGCGCCGAACATGAAGAGGTTTTCGCTAAAAATAGGAATTTTCCTCGAGAATTTCGTCATTATTGAAATTGCAACTTCCTTGACTGCTCGTTTGTTTAGATTTCACTCTATCGTTTCCAATTTTTCAACCCTCCATTTATCTTAATGCTTGTGGACCCTATTTCCAAGTGATTGAAAGGAAATTGTGCTTTACGCATATTTGCTTCTGACCGTTACCAGTGTGTGTTATTGAGGGATATTGTAAAGAATGGTTTTATCATTGTGGAAAATTTCATCAAGAAACCAATTTGAAGGATATTTAGGGGATAGGTTGACCTCTAAGACACGGATGTTTACAAGTGCCGTAAAAAAAGTTCTGCTTTGAGATCATTCACATAATCGTTGGAGTCGGGAGCCAGAAATTGCTGCTCGATAGCCAAAAAAGGCTACATGCAAAGTGAGACCAAAATATTGTTTGGAAAAACAGAATTAAATGGAAATAATATTTTACATCGAGAAATTATTTTCAATATAAAGGGGTGAGGCAAGTGAATATTATATCCATAATTGAACGGTTGGATTTTCTAATCCAAGGATTGATGTTTTTTTTTTTTAATCTCTCTCCATTGTATTTCCCTTTAGTGAGTTTCAGTTTGCGGGGAGAGACTAGGGAGGTCACTTGACAAATTTGAAGCTGTAAAGTGGAGGGCATGATTCTAAATCAAACAATAACCATGCTTTGAGATGCTTTAAATTTTTGTTAGAGACTGCGAGCATTTCGATGTTCAAAATTCAGTTGAAAAAACAAATTTAGACAACTTTTCACTTCATGTTGAATTGTTTTCTAACACCCTACTTAACAAATGTTACAGTATAATCCAATACCACTGAAAAAATTTCAAATGGGATAAAATACTACTTTAGTAAGTTTTCCACGCATTTCTTGCGTGCTTTTATGGCTTTTACCAATCGAATTAGCTTTTAACTATTTAAGACTTAACCCCATCATGTGTCATCTCCTTGTAAACAACCTGCAAATTGTCAAGTATTTCATAGACAGGGAACAAAGGCCGGTCAGGCAACCAAATGAGTTGCACACATTGTTATGCCCTGCTGAAAGTCTATGAAATTGGATCCTTTCCTCTTGTTCAATGAATTTCCTCTCACTTACTAAAAGAATGGAGATTTCTAGTTAGGATCTATTCAAGATGACTTTGAGTTTAGTTTGCATTCCGTTGTAAAATTACTTGGAATGATATTTTCCAAGGTAACTAACTGTCCACAAATAATTTTAATTTTTTTTCGATTCTCTGACAGAGAAACAGAGGTAAGTATGTTCTCCTATTCAACCGTTGCTTGGTCTCGTCACATAACAAGCTCTCTCTCCGCAATAGTATAGAGATGGCGTTGCGTGACAAGACCAAGCGAAGCAAACTTCAGCAAGCGTGGCATCAATACAGTTTATTTTTGCTTTCAATTATTCAGATAATAGAGACAATAGACTAGAAAATACTTGTGTGTGAGTTCATTAGAGATAAATTGGAAGGTTTTTTCTCTCTACGGCTCTCTTTAAGTAAAATGATTCAATGTTTTCGTTCAAAATGGGACTTACAAAGTGTCCACCTCAGCCCACCCATTCAAAAAAGCTATTGCATGTGTAACAAGCCCATGTTTTTATTCATCTACCGGTATTTACTTACTAATTTATTTATTTTTCACTCATTTATCATCTATCATCTTTTTCTCTCCTAGGATATTTATTAAGTGAAGTTTTTATGTTTAATTCATGATTATTATTGTTTTTGATGTTCCGGAATGTTCTAGTTTGTTCTATGCTCCAGATGTTAACGACATCTCCCGAAAATAGGCAAACAGGATTACTGAGTTTTAGATATCGAGGAAACGACGATGGTTTTTAAAAGAG